TGCAAGGTCCACCCTGTGCTGTTCAATAGCAGGCGTCCAAGAAACCGGGTTATGCTGTTGCCGCTACTGGGTACGTCTTCGCCAATGGTTTGCCAGGATTTAATGTCAGCCTCGCCGCAGTAAGGTGTGGACCTCACGTCGCAGAGAGGTGTTTTAAACGACCGGCTAGCATGCAGTTGTCGCCTGCGTCGGGCAAGCGTTAAAAAAGAAGAACAGGCAATGTCAGATACAGAAATAACCGTGTTGGAACAGCAGATCTTTGATTTGACAGCTCAGCTGAACGACCTCCGGGCGAAACAGCCCGGGGATCCGGTTTCCAACTATACTTTTACCACCTTATCAGGAGATGTCACCCTGCTTGACTTGTTTGGCGAGCAGCAGCAATTGCTGGTGATTCATAACATGGGTCAGGGTTGTCGTTATTGCACTCTGTGGGCGGACGGATTCAATGGTTTGTTGCCGCATCTTGAATCGGCGCTGTCAGTGGTGCTGGTATCGAAAGATACGCCGGCGGCGCAGCACACCTTTGCCAGTAGCAGAGGGTGGCGATTCAATCTGGCCTCCCATGGTGGCGGGACCTATATTCAGGAGCAGACCGTGCTCGCAGACTCAGGTAACATGCCGGGTGCGGTGGTCTATGAGCGGCACGGGGACAAAATCCTGCGTAAGAACGCCTGTGTGTTTGGTCCGGGTGATCTGTACTGTGCGGCATGGCCCTTGCTGGCCCTGGCAGGTATCAGCGAAGCGGCCTGGACGCCTCAGTTTCGCTACTGGCGGCAACCTGAACAGTTAGACGATGGTGGTGAGAACCTGCTGGACTGACCGGTTTCAGTAACATGAAGACACAAAAAAAGGCGTGAAAACGCCTTTTTTCAAGATCGTAATTTTAACCAACGTACCACATATTAACCTCCTGAAGTCCCTTGCTGGCGTGTTCTTGCGATTCCGCCGTTAGAGTGACTATCAGTTGGTGGACCTTTTTATGTCCTTCCGAAAATCTATTGTTTTTCTGATCGTTTTTTTTCGACGCCTTGTTATGCTCTAAGCGGGACACGCCTTCAACAGACCGGATAATTTATAAATCTCGGCTGCTGAAGCAGAAAATGGACAATCGCGTCAGCTGAACGGTGGTTAAAATCATTGCCGGGATAGATGACGTTGCAGGCTGGATGAGCCAGCAGGAGGACACAGAGTATGCAACCACGCATGCAGAAGATCGGCGAATGTCATCTGGATCTGGGGCAACATGGCATCGTGCGCGATGGGGAGCTGCGCAGACTTGAACCGCGCGATTTCAGCGTCTTAAAACATCTGGTAGATCGAGCGCCGAATATTGTCGCCAGTCGCACGCTTTTGCGTCAGGGCTGGGGTAACAAAGTTGTGGGTGATAATGCTTTACACCAATCCATCGGCCGCTTACGCAGGATGTTAGGTGATGATGCCCGGACTTCTAAATATATCAAAACCATTGCTAAGACTGGTTACCAGTTTATTGCGCCAGTATTGACGCTTCCGGATTCAGGCAGTGTCAGTGACGACATCAGTCCAATCGCTGTTATGCCTTTTCGAAACTATTCCCGTGATGTCAGCGATCCGTACCTGATTGATGGCCTGAGTTTTGAGTTATGCCATGAGTTAATCTCTCACAGCGCTCAGGTGGTCAGTCTTGACCATGCAGCGCGCATACAGCGAAACGGCTTTACCGATCTGGAAGTGGGCGGTCGCGTTGGCGCGCGTACTGTGCTCAGTGGCACGTTGATTATCTCCGGGCAGTTTTTGCGTGCAACGGTCAGCCTTGATGATGTAGAAACTCATCGACAGCTGTGGTGCGCCAGATACGATCTTCCTTACGGGCGTATCCTGGATATTCATACCCAGTTGGCACATAACATTGTGCAAGGGCTTTTCGATCGACTGCAGGGACGGATGGGCCCGCTTGCTGTTGGTGATGCCAGCGTTGCAGATGACCTGCTGTATATGACTTCTCCTCTTGCTACGCAATGAAGTGGCACCGTTGACATAGTCTTCATCTGTCCGCCTGTAAGGTTCTTATTTCCGGTCTAAAGCAGTCTGTCAAAATATGTATCACCTTGCAGAAGCCTATCTCATGGCGGGGTATATCTGTCTGTTAGCGGCGTACCTCGGGGCGCTCATGTTTGGCGCAGGCGCCATAGCACCGCTGGTTGTGTCTACCTTGTCCGCTGAATCCAGTACGATTTTGCTGCGCCGCTTCTGGCTGCGATATCATCGGTTTGCCGTCGTTGGCGGAGCGTTTTTCACCTCGGTCTGCGCGGTTGGGTCTTTCTTAAGCGCGGTACCGCTGATTTATTCAACAGTAATGCTGGCTATTGCGGGTTTGATGACGCTGTCATTTTACGTGGGTCAGCATCTGATTCCTGCCATCAACCTCGCCCGAGATATGGGTGACCAGCAGCAGTTTGAAAGGCTGCACCGCCTGGATATCATTCTTGTTGCTGTTGGTTTGTTGGCCGCTATTGCATTGCTTGTTGGCCTCGTTTACGTGTTGCCGGGTCAGTTCACGTTCTGGCCAACGGCTCAGGTTGTCGAGGAACATTAAGATGCAACAGGTCTCACTGGACAACCTGCCTGAAGACTCGCTGTTGGAAGTGCATGCCGTAGACCCGATGATCTACCTGGTTTTTGCGGCCTTTGGAACTAACCTTTTGCCTGTCACCGGTAAAGGCGGCAAACGCTTAAGGTTCCCGAGTCGCTTCGCTGCATTGCACAAACTGCGTGAGGCTGGCGTAACGTCCGTGACGTTTGTGCATCGCAGTGCCTATGGAGAAATGGTCGGGCTTGCAGATCAAGGTGAGACAACTGAGATGAGGCAGATCATCTCTCTTTAAGTTTGTTTGCCTAACTGGCTGTGTCAGTATGCGGCGCATGAGTATTAAAGCTGAATCCACCTTCTCCCTGAAAGACGAGTTGTTCAATCCCAGCACCCTGGAGCTACTCTCCGGGAACGTGGCGGCAGTATATCCGGGCTTCCGTCGACAAGCGTTTGAACGGAAGGTTCTGGGGCGCTTTGATGAGTTGGAGTTGAAGGCGCGTATAGACTGGATCGCGCAGTGCCTGAACGAATATCTACCTGAAAATATTGCGCAAGCGAGGGAAGTGTTACTCGCGGCCTTGCCTGAACCGTTAGATCCTGATCTGCGGGATAATGATTTTGGTCAATTCATCTGGGTCGTGCCAGGTGAGTGCATTGCACTGAATCACTGCAACGAAAAACATTTTGCGGCGGGTTTAGACTTTCTGCGCGAATCAACCAAAAGATTTTCAGCCGAGTTTGCTATCCGCCCTTTCCTGCTTCATTTCCCTGAGCCCAGCATGGATTTTGTGCGGGATGCCGCAGTTGATGACAATTATCATGTGCGGCGGCTGGCTTCGGAAGGTATTCGACCCTTTCTGCCCTGGGCGCGGCGGGTCAATCTGCCACCTGAACAGATTGTCACGGTGTTAGACAGCCTGCATGCTGACCCAACGCGGTACGTGACTCGATCAGTAGCCAATACGTTAAATGACATCAGCAAGATTGATGCGAAGCTGGTTATGCAGACGCTGCAGAACTGGCAAGGTCAGGCTCGCCAGGATGCTGATGAGCTGGACTGGATGACGCGCCATAGTTTGCGCACCCTGCTCAAGGCAGGTGACAGCGATGCCCTGACATTAACGGGGTATCCGGCAAACCCCGAGTTCAGTATCAGTAAGGTGCAGGTCAGCAAGCGGGTTGTGTTGGGAGAATCGCTCAACTGGCGTGCTGTTCTGCACAGTAAAAAGCGGCAGAAACTGAAGATTGCCTTGCGCGTACATTTCCTCAAGGCAAACGGCGGCTATGGGGTAAAAGTATTTGCCTTGAAAGATGTGCAGGTTGACGCTGGCGCTGACATCGAGCTGATCAAAAATCTACCGTTTAAACCGCTGACCACACGCGTACTTTATGCGGGCAAACATCTGGTTGAGCTGTCTGTTAACGGCTGTATCAGTGACTCTCACGGGTTTGAATTAGTCGCCTGAAGGCAAAGGGGCCAGGTGTGCTTTAACAGCCTGCAGGTCAGGGGTTACTAAACCCGGAACACCCTCAGTTAGAAATAACTCGTGGATATGCAGGCTGGCCAGCGCGAGTGCAGTGGGTGTCGAGGGTGTTAGCTCACCCAGTTGTTGTTGGTATTTTTTGATGTAAGCGGCAGCTGCCTTAACCGCCTCATGTTTGCGTTTGTCTTCGCTGTTTTGGTAACTGAAGCGCCAGCGACGGACCTGCTCATCGACTTCGGCTTTAGCGTCCCCTTCGCCGGCTTGGCGTGCGGAAATACCGGCAGCAGCAAATACTCGACAGTCGTAGTCCCGACATGTCTGCGGACGATGGGGGTAAATGGAACAGCTGTTCTGCTTTAACATCGGGCACTTGCCGGTGTCGTCAAATCCCATCACCCACTGTTTTCCACCGCTGCCTGGCGCGGGAAAAATGAGTGCCTGGGGCACGTGTTTGCGGGTCTCTTCTTCATGCTCCGCGATATGAATAAAGTAACTTGCGCGGCAGCACGCGTTACACTCTCCGCAGGGAACGTCGGCAGCTTCAGCTGCCCGGGTAAGATTGAGCCAGCGGCCAAAATCACCTGCCTCAATAACAGAAGTATTATTCATCAAAGCAGATCGTGGGCAAAGATAGACAAGTATAGCGTGATCAAAGGAGATCAGAAGTGAAGAAGTGGTTGCTCGGTTTGGGCGTGGTCCTGCTGTTGTTGTTTGCATTACTGTTTTTTGTGTTGCCAGGATTGGGTTTATCGCCGAGTAACCTTAAGGCAAATATTGACGTCGGAGGCGCTATGTCTGCAAAGCTTGCCTGTTCAGCACGGTATGTAAGTGGCTTTGATGCTGCTCAGGCTAAGGCAGATGTTGTCTCTTACAGTCCTATTTTTGAGCTGGTGAGTATTTCTCATGACGATCAACGACAACGCACCGAAGCAAGCCTGTTAGGAATGGGCGCGGCTGCTGCGCAGTATCGTCCTGGGCTTGGCTGTACCTTAGAAAGAGTCTCAAACTTCCAGCTCGATAGCCTGCAGGTGCCGGAACTGCCTGCCGGGCAGGGCTTATGGCCCCTCGGCGAACAGGTGCAACCGGCTGATGAAGCCCTGCAGGAGAAGATGGAAGCCATTTTGGCGCGTGACAACCTGGCTGGATTGCAGACGCGCGCGTTGGTGCTGGTGCACGATGGTAAAGTTAAAGCCGAAAGTTATGCGCAAGGTATTACCGGACAGACGCCGCTGCTGGGCTGGTCAATGGGTAAAAGCATAACGGCCATGATGTTCGGTCGGATGGAAATGCAGGGCCTGTTGAGTGTCACTGAGGATAATCTCTTTCCTGCCTGGGCCAACGATGAGCGCCGCACCATTACACTGGAAAATCTGCTGCAGATGACCAGCGGCCTGGCCTTTTCCGAGGTTTATGCGCCGGGTAGCGACGCAACTGACATGCTGTTCCTGGCTCCGAGCGCAGCAGCGGTTGCCTTACGCAGCCCATCTGCTTATCCGCCTGGTACCCACTTTGCTTATTCGTCAGGAACATCTAATCTGTTGATGCACCTGATGACCGAACGGCTCGGCGGGCCGCAAGCTGCGCTCAACTATTTGTGGCAGGAAATATTTGCACCCCTGGGTATTCGCAATGCCGTATTTGAACCTGACCCCAGTGGTGTGATGGTTGCCAGTTCGTACATTTATGCGTCGCCGCGCGATTGGGCGCGTCTGGGGCTTGCCAGCCTGAAACAGAGTCTGGTCAGCCAGGACTGGTCGCGACGTGCACACACGGTTAACAGTAGCGCTAACGGGCCTGCCTATGGCTACCAGTTCTGGCTCAACGATGGTGGTGAGGGGCTGCGCTGGCCCGACCTGCCCGCTGATGCCTATGCGATGACCGGTAACCGCCAGCAGGTTGTCATGATTGTTCCCTCCCGGAATACGGTGATTGTTCGTCTGGGTTGGAGTCCGGGTCGGTATCCGACCAGCAGCAACTTCGCTGACCTGATATCTGTTTTGGCCAACTCACACCAGGAGTCCATGTAATGCAAGGTGTTACAAAGCTGCGCGCCAGATGTTCACTGGCCTTTGACGTCGAAATACCAACGCCCATGGTGCTCATGCTCAGGCCTCGCAGTAGCGCGGGGCAGTGGGTTGTGCGGGAAGAGTACAGCTTCACACAGGATGTCATTGTTGATGAGGTAGTAGATGCCTATGGGAATCTGTGCCAGCGCCTGGTTGCACCGGTGGGTCAGTTTTCGGTATTCACGGAAGTTTATGTAGATGTTCAGGCGGGTAAACCCGTCCCGCTTGAGGCGGGATTTATTGACATACCTGAATTGCCTGCCGATACACTGGTGCATCTGTTGCCCAGCCGTTACTGCGAGGTTGATCGATTCGGCGAAATGGCCGCGCAGATTGTTGGTGATGCAACTCCGGGTTATGCCCAGGTGGAAGCGATCAGCAGCTGGGTGCGACAGAATATTCGCAATCGACCACTCTCCAGCACCTATCCGGTTTCTGCCATTGAAGTTAATCAGCGCGGCGAAGGTGTGTGTCGAGACCTTGCGCAACTGGCGATCACGTTATGCCGTGCCTTGTGTATCCCGGCACGACTCGTGGTGGGTTATCTGCACCAGCTGGAGCCAATGGATATTCATGCCTGGTTTGAAGCGTATGTGGGTGAGCAATGGTGGACGTTTGATCCAGCTGTAGACCTGGGTGATGCGCCTCGGATTGCAATCGCTCGAGGTCGCGATGCTACCGATGTGGCTATTTATAACCAGTATGGGCCACTGTTGCTGCCGACCGATATGCAGGTAGCCGTTGAACTGGTGTAATTTCAGCGTTGTGCTGTAACAGGAAGAGTCAAGGGATAAACTGCTCGTTCAGGATGCGCTCCTCCAGGTTATGGTCCGGATCGAACAACAAAGTAGCATGTTTGTTAGTGGCCACACTGATATGCACCTCGGCAACATTACGCACTTCGTGTGCATCAGCCACGGCACTCACAGGTCTTTTATAATGGTCCAGCACGCGCAGAGTAATCTGTGCATCCTGGCGCAATACTGCACCCTGCCAGCGCCGCGGTCGAAATGCGCTGATTGGTGTCAGGGCTAATACGCCGGAACCGATGGGTAGAATCGGGCCATGGGCAGAAAGGTTATAGGCAGTGCTGCCTGCCGGGGTGGCCACCAGGCAGCCGTCGCAGGTCAAACACTCGATACGCACCTTGCCATCAATCGAGACTTCAATATTTGCGGCCTGACGGGTTTGTCTTAACAGAGAAACCTCGTTAAAGGCGTAAGCCTCCTGTTGTACGCCGGAGTCCGTTGTTACCTGCATATGCAAAGGCCGGAGTTTTTCCACGTGGGCGTTTTCCAGCCTGGTCAGAAGATCGTCATCACTGTAGCCGTTGAGCAGAAAGCCCACGGTGCCTCGGTTCATGCCATAAATGGGTTGTCCCTTTGACATATTCCGATGCAGGGTTTCGAGCATGAATCCGTCACCGCCAAGGGCAACCAGGATATCTGCATCGGCGGGTTCGACGTTTGGATAGCGCTGCTGCAATAGCGTGCATGCTTCCTGTGCTTCCGCCGTGGGACTGGCCACAAATGCGATTTTTTTATCCAATTCATTCCCCTTGGTGCCGGCGCAGTCTAGCTAGCCTGAGGCTTAAAGTACAAGCCGCTGCGGGAGGCCGACGAGACATAGGCGATGCTGGTTGCCTAGACGTCTGTTGGGTATGATCTGAGTCGGATTTGTCTATCAGTCGAGGGGGGAAACATGACGGCACAGCAGATCGTAGAACATCGCGACGTGATCATCGTCGGTGCGGGGATATCAGGGTTGGGTGCAGCTTGTCACCTGCAGCGTGAAACGGACAACAAAGACTACGTTATTCTGGAAGGTCGGGACGCAATTGGCGGTACCTGGGATCTCTTCCGTTATCCAGGCATCCGCTCCGACAGCGATTTGTACACCTTTGGCTATGATTTCAAGCCCTGGCATGGCCAACCCATCGCTACCGCAGAAGAAATATTGAGTTACCTGCACGAAGTTGTGGATGAAAACGAACTGGCACCACATATCCGTTTCAATCACTGGGTAACAACAGCATCGTGGTCAACAGAAGATGCATTGTGGACAGTGGTTGCACAGTGTGAAGGTGAAACCCGGGTGTATACCGGGAACTTTCTGTTCATGTGCCAGGGTTACTACGACTACGAAAAGGGCTATCGCCCGGATTTTCCCGGTGAAGAAAACTTTGGTGGCACCATTGTGCATCCTCAGCAGTGGCCGGATGACCTCGACTACAGCGGCAAGCGTATGGTCGTCATCGGCTCGGGGGCAACCGCCGCAACGATTCTACCGGCGGTAGCTGACAAGGTAGAGCACGTCACTCAACTGCAACGCTCACCGACGTATTACATGTCCATGGATAACAGCGAAGAAGACGCCACCATTGAGGAGTTGCGTGCGCTGGATGTGCCTGTTGACTGGATTCATGGCATCAAACGCCGTAAAGCGCTGGCCTTTGGCGAAGAAATGGCGGTCCGCTCGAAGCAGGAGCCAGAAGTGGTGCGAGCTGAGCTGATCAATGCAACCAAAGAAGCCCTGCCTGAAGGCTTTGACGTAGACAAACACTTTACCCCCAGCTACAACCCCTGGGACGAGCGCTTGTGCCTGTTGCCCGATGGCGACATGTTTACCGCTATTTCTTCCGGTAAAGCCTCAGTGGTCACAGATCATATTGATCACTTTGTTGAACACGGCATTGTGCTCAAGTCCGGTGAACTGTTGCCTGCAGATATTGTTGTTTCTGCCACAGGTATAGAGCTGTGTGCCCTGGGTAACATTGAATTCTCTGTCGATGGACGCGGCGTCAACCTGCCTGACCGTTGGACCTATAAAGGCATCATGATTTCGGACATACCGAACCTGGCCTGGAGTTTCGGCTATATTCGAACGTCCTGGACCATGCGTTCTGACATGATTGCCCATTATGTCTGTCGTCTGCTCAACCATATGGACGAAACAGGCAGCCGTCAGGTAACCCCGCGCCTGCGTGAGCAGGACAAAGGCATGAATGGCAAAGGCTTTATTGATGCTGAAGATTTTGCACCCGGTTACATGCAGCGTGGTGTGCCGCGTCTGCCGAAGCAGAGTGATCAGGGGCCGTGGACTAATTCCCAGGACTACTATGCGGAGAAAGATCTGTTGCCGGATGCTGAACTCGAGGACGGTGTCCTTTCGTTTGAAAACCCAGGGCCAGGCGATAAAACCAGAGCGGCCTGACCTAACGTTTTAGGGCAGTCGTTTTTGTAACAGCAAGATGGGGAGAGGGTAATGAGAAATAGATCAGTTATCAGGTCGATTGTAGTGGTGGGCATCGTTGCAGCAACGATGCTGTCAGGTCTGTCTGTGAAAGCTGAACAGCCTGCGCCAATGCCTGAGAATGATTTGCAGAATCTGCCGGATCCCGGTATTTCGCCGCTGTTCTGGCAGGGTGATGCGCAGATTGTTGGTTTTCGAAACTCAGAACATCTGGGGCCAACACGGAAAATTGAGGCGGGTGACAAGGTGTTTGCTCTGCCCCGCGATGAGGTTGATCTGGGTGACGTCACCTTCTCTGCCGAGGGTGTCACCATGACCGTCGATCAATATCTGGAAAAAGAGCGCATCGGTGGCTTGCTGGTGGTCAAAGACGGCAAAATCCTCTTTGAGCGTTATGGCCTGGGTAACACGCCGGACACGCGCTGGGTGTCGTTTTCGGTGTCGAAGTCTGTTGTGGCGATGCTGTTTGGTGCCGCCATCAAAGATGGCTACATAAAAAGTGTTGATGAGAAAGTAACCGATTATCTGCCGCGACTGAAAGGCTCTGTATATGATCAGTCGAGTATCAGAAACCTGCTGCAGATGGCATCTGGTGTGGCCTGGAACGAAGACTACGCCGATCCGAACTCTGACGTGGCTCAGGCGACCTATGAGACGCTGGCGCTTTACGATTATCTGGCGGATAAGCCACGTGACGCCAAGCCCGGCGAGAAGTTTAATTACAATACTGCGGAAACCAATCTTGCGGGTACGTTGCTGCGCTCTGCTATCGGCAATAACCTGTCTACCTATCTAACAGAAAAAATATGGCGTCCATTTGGCATGGAAAGCGACGCGGCATGGAACCTGACAGAGCCTGGTGGCGGCGAATTTGGCGGCTGTTGTATCAATGCAACATTACGGGATTATGCCCGGCTTGGACTGTTTGCTTTGAATGACGGCAAACTGGCTGATGGTACACCGATGCTGGCCCCGGGCTGGATGGCAGAGTCCACCGAACCTTCCAAGGGATTTGCAGGCTATGGTTACTTCTGGTGGTTAAGTGAGTCTGGTGCTTATGAAGCCTCTGGCATATTCGGTCAGGGTATTCATATCAATCCTGAACACAATGTGGTGATTGCCATTCACAGCGCCAGAAAGCAGGCCAGCGATGATCTGGGCTGGGCCCTGCAGGACGCTCTGTATGTCGCGTTAACTGAGGCGGTTGCGCGATAGCAGCCGTAAAAACTTCCCGTGCCAGCTCGATGTGTGAGAAATATTCACAATAACTGCTGATAATTAGTCAATAAATAGCATTTCCTGCGCCACTATCGGCCTAATATTCTGTTTTTACGTGAGTAATGGGGAAATCCTATGTTTGAGCAATTTACCCAACATCCTGCGGCGGTAGGTGAGAGTTACCTGCAGCATTTTGCCAAGGCGTCCGGGTTTGGATTGCACATGATCGCGGCGGGGTTGGCCTGTGTTATCCACGCAGTGTTTCCGTTCCTGTTCCAACATACCGGCAGCGATGTGATCAGAAATCTCAACCAAGCCATGGAGCAGCGCAGGTTACGCAACGCTGAAAATGAGGAAGTTGTGCCGGACGAGCCTTTAGCTGCCGCAGAATCCGGGGCGCCTTCGATTGGTTGAATCCGTGCGCCTCGTCTATGATGCGGCCTTTCTAAGAAGCAGGGTTTTCAGACCCGGAATTTATGTCGAAGTTGCTGGTTGTACTCTTTGTTAACGTGTTTACCCTGGTCGCGTTTGCCGCGCCGATTGATCACAAACGCCTGACCAATGTGGATCAGGAGCCGGGCAGCTGGTTGAGCCACGGGCGCAACTACGCAGAAGATCGACATAGCCCGTTAACACAGATTACCCCGGACAACGTCAGCCAGCTTGGCCTTGTCTGGTATTTTGATACGCAGACAACGCGTGGTCTGGAAGCCTCACCTCTGGTGATCGACGGCCACATGTATTTCACTACGAGTTGGAGTCAGGTGTTTGCACTTGATGCACGCAGTGGAGAGCTGCTCTGGCAGTACGACCCTCAGGTACCCAGAGCCTGGGGCGTCAATGCCTGCTGTGATGTGGTGAACCGTGGTGTTGCCGCCTGGGGTGACGCCGTTTATGTCGGCACTCTGGATGGTCGACTGGTGGCCCTGGATCGGCAGGACGGTCGAGTGCTTTGGCAGACGCTCACCATCGATGCTGATAAACCCTACACAATTACCGGCGCCCCGCGGGTTGTTAATGGTCAGGTTATCATTGGTAACGGCGGTGCGGAGTATGGCGTGCGCGGCTATGTCAGTGCCTATGATGCAGCCAGCGGTGAGCTGTCGTGGCGTTTCTATACCGTTCCTGGCAAACCCACTGAACCCTATGAATCTCCAGCCATGGCTATGGCCGCGCAAACCTGGACTGGAGATGTGTACTGGCAGGTTGGCGGCGGCGGAACAGTCTGGGACAGCATGGCTTATGATGCCGAACTGAATCTGTTGTACATCGGTGTGGGCAATGG